GTACATGACTCCTGTAATCTGTTCAAGCAGGTGACCTCTTGAGATTGGGTTATCTTGTTTTCCAAATATGACAGGCATGTCAAAGAAGTTCCTTTGCATGTAACTCTGTTTGGTCTTACTTTATGAATATCTGACAGAATATACAGAAACTTCATTCTTCTCCCTCTGGTTTTTTTTCATCCCATCTTACCTGTTATTCAGGGTTTTCTTAACAATCTGGGTCCTGCTCCACCATCTTCCCTTCCTATATCATTGGGAGTCAGTTGTCACTTCTGGGTTCTTGCAGCTACTCCTAATGACACACTGCTAGGTCCACCCTCCAATCTCTGTGTGCCCCTGCTCCTTCAGCCTCCTGGGATATGTGACAGGGATATCAAAGGAGGCTAAAGGAGCAGGACAAGTCATTGTCACCTAGGTGAGAATAAAGGTTGGGTGGCAGACCACAATGTTCCCTTTCTATGTCTTGAAGAGTAGGCTGTCACTGATGGCTTCTTGCAGCCTGCCTCGTATGATACACTGCCAGGTCTTCCCTTCATTCTATGCGAGTCCTTGCTTCTGAAGCCTCCTGGGATTTATTAAATGTGTGATTCTTGCCTAGGCAAAAAGATAGAGAGGCAGGTCACCATAATCCCTTCCTATATCATCAAGGACTGCTGCTGTCTCTTACGGCCTGTGATCATGTGTGGCCAGTTCTGCCCTCCAGTCTTTGTGTGTGTGCCCTGTTCTCCTAAGCGAGAATGAAGGCGAGGGGTGCTATATACAGTATTGTGTGTTAATATCACTTGACCAGTAGATGGCATTGTACACTAAGGTTACCAGTTGTGCATATCTGTAAAACTTGTTGGTTCTTTTTCCTTTTCTCTCTCTTTCTATAACCAAGATGTCTGCTGTTACAGTTTGCTGAAATGTTTTGTATGTTTGCAACTTAAGCCACACAAGTAAACCATGTTCTGCGTCATCACAAGCTACTAGTGTCTTCTCTAACACATAACCAACAGGTTTGGGCCCAGCTCCAGACACTGGAAAAAGGAAAACTACAAGCAAGTAAGTGCTGCATTTACAATCCTACCAAATCCTGTGTGAGGAAACAAGAGCTGTATCCAATTCACTGAAAGATGGCAAGTGCTTCAGATATGAAGTTTACAATAGCAAAGCTCAACAATACCAACTACCAGCTATGGAAGTTTAAGCTTGAAATGCTGTTATCCAAATATGACTTGTGGCAGGTACTAGATACACACAGACCCAATGACAACCCGGAAGAATGGGACAGAAAAAACAGGCAAGCAAAAGCAGTCATAAGCCTGTTAGTGGAGGACGATCAACTCATTCATATAAGGGAAGAAAACACAGCTAAAAGTATGTGGACTGCATTACAAAAACTGCATGAACATGCAAACCTAAACAGTAAACTATATCTGCTGCGCAAACTGTATAAGATGAGGCTGGAAAAAGAGCAGGAAATGGGTGAACATGTAAATGCTATGCTAGAAATTGTGGACCAGCTGGGTGCAATAGGTGAAGAAATGAAAGACAATCATGTAGTAGCACTACTGCTATGCAGCCTTCCAGAATCATATAGTGCCCTTATAAATGCTCTAGAAACTAGACCAGAAACTGAACTGACGCTAGAATATGTTAAGCGAAAATGAATTGATGAATACAGCAGAAGAAAGGAAAATTTGCACAGTGAAGAGAACGAGAGACCAGAGGCAGCTCTGAAGGTGCATGAAGGCATAAGACAAAGCAAAGAAACCAGGGTATGTTTTCGCTTCTCTAACACATAACCAAGGGGCAGGCCACAATCTTCTGTTGTCAAATCTACAACTATGAACAAAATATGTAGTCATGGATTTTGTGCAGACATATAGATGGGAAACTGAGTACCGAAAAAAAAATGTATGATCTACCATTAACAGTCTATTATACAATATTAAAAATTTCTCTCCACACAGGAGTTCATAATATGCAAATATTCTGATTACAGTTCACATGTGGGATCGATGCATTTCGGGAATCCTTATTCAAGTTCACATGTGACAGAATCAGTACACTGGAACCCACTCCTAATCTTTAATAGAGTAAATTCAATCAGTAGTGTAGACTGGAATTAATGGCATATGCACATAAAGGTGCAAATGGGTAGATCAAGGTAGACCAAGCTAAGCTACTGCCTCTCGGGGGAAATTCAGGTTCATTCTGTAAACAGACATTAGTCTTGTGTACATAATTTTAAAATAGAAGGACCAACTTCCCAAAGGGGAACCATCCAGACCCAATGTAAGTAAGTCACCATAAAGACAGCATGGTAGTCAAGGTAGTCAAGACTCATATTTCAAAGAGTGGGCTCTTGATAAGTATCTTAGAAACAAACTCAGTTCACATCAATCCCACAGGCAGTGGAGCCTCTGTTGAGCAATTCAGTATGTTAGCAGTATACATATCTACTTGTGTACTTTAGTACATTTATCCTTAAACAGTTGTTGCTTCATCCCAAACAAACCTCACGCTTCTACAAGTCTCACACTTACATGTCCTTGTCCATTGGAGATCTTAGCTGTGTAGCCAATGGAGGCTTTTATAGCCTCTCCATGGAAATTCCAAAGCATTAAAGGCCTTCCCTTAGAAATTGATGGAGATCCTTCTGTGCATGTGTCCAGTGGCTGCACAGCAAAGACCTCAAGGGAACATGGGCATGTAAGTATGTTACAGTTGTTTAAAATAAAGTAATCCTTTAAAATATGAGGCACAGTTGCTGCCTTCCTCATTAAACAACTGCTGAAATAAGATATCAGCTATAAGATATCAGTACAATGTTTTGAAAGAGTCAACTGACTCAGAGTTTCATTTTGAGAAAAAATACTAAAGACTGACTTACAGCATTTTTAAATTCCACAGCCAGACAAGTAACACACATTATTCCCGGTTTAGCAATTCACTTTCCTAGTTCAGTAAAGTAACTTCTATGGCACATCCCCACCCGCAGCCTTCACATTATCACTCTTTAGTGAGCATTAGCTGACCTAGTAAGCAGTAAAGCTAAGCTTGGAAGTTGTAATGTTAAAACAGGAATTAGCAGAGCAATCTTGCTGATTAATAGTGGTGTGTGTATTACAAGAATTGAAGGTCAATCCTTTAGCAGGTAGAAAAATGAATCTATATTCATTTCAACTGTGTATTTAGCAGTCTGACTAAATTTACACTTTAAATTAGATGTAAACCCTAACTGACTGACATTTAGTACAATAAGCACCGTGGGCGAGATTTACTAAAACTGTTGCACTCAGAATCTGTTGCAGGTGTGCATAGTAGCCAATAAACTTCTAACAGCTTGTTCACTTAAAGGATAAGTCCACCTTTTAGACAACAATAATAAATGCACATTTTTTTGCAGGTAAAAGGATGTACAGGATGTACGAGCAAGCAAATATTATGACAGGAAGCTTCAATTAACTACACAGCGCTCCAAAGCGCCATAGTAGTTCATTGAAAACTACAAGCCAACAGCCGCTAAGGCTGTCGGGACTTGCAGTTCATTCATTCACAGAAGCCATGAATGAATGATGTGGCCGTGTGGGCGGAGCCCCGCATTGCCACACTGTTTCCAAATTTGACAGACTTATCCCCATACTATCTGTCAGAAGGGCGGCAGGTGACTGCTGCTATGGGAATATGTTACATGTTCCACACTAACAACGGGTAGAACAAGTAACATGTTCCCAAAGGTGAACTTAGCCTTTTACGGTATAACAATGGAGTTGCATAATAATTTGACTCTCCAGTAACCCCCTGTGTGTTTGACACAAAGTCTGTCAACCAGAGTTCTGTGGAACCCCAGGTTTCCTTAAGAAGTTGCTAGGGGTTCCTTCAGCAACAAGTGATTTCTGCCTCTCAGATGAGTAACCACTGGTTTTTAGCAATCTGTAAGGAAGAGATTCTTCTCAATGACCACAAATGTAAGGTGCATTCTCCCCACTGACCATCACACTAATGTACTGTGAGCTGAAAATATGATAATTATTAACAGTGGGTTTCCTAACACCAAAACATTTTTTTTCCATGTTAAAAAGGTTGAAAAAGGCTGGGCTAACAGATGCCCCCCTTTTTAAAAAAATTACTTGTCTTCACTTTTTTAATCTTTTGTTGCATCTCAGTGTGCTCATCATCTGCTCATCATCCTTTGCAGCTATTTGCTGCCTACATGCCTGCAATCATGCATTTTAAGGGTGGGTTCCAGATGGTGATAACTGGACCATTCTTATGTAATGTTTATTGAAAAGCCACTTTACCAATCCTTGTCACAGGGTGACAATGCAGTAGCACAGTTGGGAGTTCGGATTGTTGTCATCCTAGTATAACAGGAAGTTGTTGAACAAAGATCACTAGGTATTACTGAAAGCTGCAGATTTAGAAATATTAAAAACATTTTAATGTTCATACAATATTTTAGTGAATGAGTTTACATATTCTGCAAAAAACCTTAATTGAACCTTTGCAGTCAAAATAAACATGTTTGAGATAAAGTAGCAGTAAAAAAACTACTACAATTTATAGATGATAGAAAAAACAGTTCAGGGCATGATATGGCAAGACTTCCTCTTAAGGGTATAGTTTAATATATTTAGTCTAGTTTAAGATTCCAGGTTCTAAGCAGATCTTGCACCTGTAAAAATTTGGTCACATATGTGCAATCATGATACATTTATTGTATTTTTGCAGTGCCAGTTCAAAGTAATGCTGAAGAAATCAGTAATGCCATTAAGAAGGTCAAGTCACTGTAAATGTTAAATATAACCTTATATTTACTCATCTGCTATCAATAATACTTAACAAGAAGTCTTCCTGTAGCTATATATAGTGAATATCTTAATTATATTCAAGTGTGTTTCTATTAACATTGGTAAGAGCGTTGTCCAAAATGACCACATATGCCTCCATTATTAAATAAGTGGGATATGAAAAATGCTAATGCATATAATTGTCTATATGAAATGGCATCTCTAATCTTCAAATGAATACAGTATAAATCCAGAGAAAGAGAGAGTCTGTTTCATCAAAAATCGATTCATTCTGACCGATGCTTAGAACCTGAAGCCAAACCTCATCATCCTCACGAAGATGGAGCAGGACCGATCCTGAGACTTGACACGCAGATTGCCTGGCTTGTGTTTGTACAATGATCCTACCATTGTGAGCTAAGCCAGCAACTAGAAGATGGTGTGATGGCTTAAGTGATATGAGAAAAAGTAGACACCTTCAACAGAGGCCACAAACATGCCTGAGTTTATACTGTATGGTTTATTTTCATTCACAAAAACTTTATCAAATCTTATTGGTTGTCCTGGTGATAAGGAATTCCTACTTCCTCTGAAGGCTACTGAAAATGCAATATTATCATGCTCCTTTTGTGATCCTTTTTGTCCTTTTTCTCCCTTTATTCCAGGAATTCCAGCTGGTCCACGATACCCTTGTAGCCCAATAGCTCCAGGCATTCCGCGATCACCTTTTGGTCCCGTAAGACCCCTTTGACCTATAAGTCCTTGAAGCCCAGTTTCTCCTGGAGTTCCTGGTATCCCATTTGTACCTTTGTTTCCTCTTTCACCAGGGCTTCCCTTAGGTCCCATTTGTCCTTTTCTACCTTTCTCTCCTGGCTCACCTTTATCACCTTGTAATGCAATGGCTCCATTGTTACCTGGAATTCCTTGATCCCCTTTTTCACAAAGAGCACATGTTTCTCCTGGTTCACCCTTAACTCCTGGAGGACCCATCTCACCTTTATCACCTTTACTTCCTGCTTCTCCTATGGGACCATAGTCTCCTATTATACCTTCTAACCCCTGGGGTCCAAGTTCTCCTAAAAAAAAAGTAATCAGATTAATAGTAAATTGCAAAAATTGAGGCAAACAACTGTTGTGTTAGTACCAAGTCACAATACAAACATAATCTCTTATTAACATAATGTAATGGCCAATGGTATACCTGGTCCCAATAAGAAGTAGGCTTCAATGAACAGATTTATAAATGGATGTTTTTCCATGCCCACTAATGAACATTACCCACTACTGAAAGTTTTTGTCAAATAAACTGAAAACAACACATATTGAGCATAATATTATTTATAAAATTAGGAATATTTTAATGATCTTCCTCATAATAAAATGCTGTAAACATCTAGTAAAAAACCATGCCTAATGCTGAACTTCAGGTTAACTAAAACTCCTCCCTCACAGTGAGGTTGTACCGGCACTGCAAGGGTCAAGCGCTGGTTTATGTTGAGGCATTTGAAAAAGCACTTTTCATTTACCTGATTCTCCACTCCCCCAGGCTCCTCAGTGCCAATAGACCAATCCTCATAGCCTCTTCTGTCCTGGACTCTGTCAGTCTAAAGTCCTCTGACATCATCAAGATCAATGCATGGACTATAGCCCTGTATTGGACGTTAGGACACTGAGGGCAGTCCACTGCTGGAGCTTGGGGGAGTGCAATTTGCCAGGGAAGCAGAAGGTCAGATAAGTAATGCTTTTACTGTACCCTAGACATATACAAGCATCTAACCCTGTCTTGGGGGGGGGGCCCGCCCCACTGCAAGGAAGGGAGTTTTACTTTTACTGGCGTGGGGCTTTAAATGTACATGGCTGATACTATTTTCATGAATTTTAAAATACACACACACTATTTCAGTTCTGGTGCCATTTTAATGTCTGAGGGTGCATTTTGCGCTATATCGATAAGTAATGTATCTGTTTAATATGTTATGAAGAATAATACATTTGGGTAAACTAAAAGTGACCTGTATTTTCATATATTATGGAACTTCCTTTTGCAGTATATACGGTCTCGCAATATACAGTCAAAAGTTGTCTATATTATATACAAGCACCTGACGATTCTTTGAGACAGCTCAGTAAACTGGAGAACCAATTTCATTTAAGTTTACAAAACTCAGATTATTAAAAGTTTCGTATTTCTGCACACTTTATATGGCTTGTCATACTGGGCATCATCATTGCTCTTTGGAAATCTTGCAAAACATATTTTAACTTTAGTAGAAATGGTATTGAATTGTTGATGTACTTGAAAATTGTGGTAGTGCTCAATTCAGTTTACTAAAAGAAAACGTTTGTTATTTTGGTGCAACCAAAAAGTACAATTTAGCAACAATTAGAAAATGGTATATACTTAAGAAGAAAAATATCTTAAACCTTTTTTTCATTATGGTATATCCCAAAAAAAGAAAAATGTTGGGTAATAAAATTATGCGATTTTGTATATCAACTACAATAGCATCTAACTTGTTCAACAACTCTCATATACATATTTGCCAATTTGTCTTCTAAGCTTTCATGTACGTAAACATATAAAAAGTGTAGTAAACACTAATGAATTGAGACTGTCACACCAGCACTGCATATCCATTTCACATAAGTCATGTAAACAGGTAACTCCTGTGCACATGTCTATATATTGTTTAGTTAAGATCACCATATCACCTCCAACATAAATTCTCAAGTGATCAGATGTCTGTGACATGCTGTTTGTCTTATCTCTCACAAGCTAATGAGGCATGATACATGATGCCATCTACAGGTACAATTACCTGGCTCTCCTCTGTCACCTTTGTCTCCCTTTTGTCCTGCAGGTCCAGGAATATTACAGAAGCACTGTTTTTCTTCAGTAGTGTTTTCCATTGGTATTTCCAAGAAAGAACCTGGTTGTTCATCAAATGGATAGGCTTTGTTAGTGTCTAGTATCGGGAGTAAGGTGCTATTGTTCCCGATGTCTTTGGGAGCGCTGTCTTCTGCATGGAGAGAACTCTCAGTGATGTTCATGTTGAATACATTCCAACTAATTGGTTGCCTCTGCTCATTACTTCTTGTAGTTAGTTCCTCTTGTTTTATATTATTTTCCACTCCATCTGTCACATTGTCTAAAGCAGGGGTTACTGTTGATGTTACAGCAGTCTGGGAACTGGTTTGAATCTCACCATCTGTGACTGGATCAGTTTCACTTGTTTCAAGGTCCAGATCAAGAGGAACAGTAAATGCTTGTTTGGGCTCCTCAGTTTCAGTAGCATTGAGTGACTCCATTGTGAAAGGTGGGCTAGCTGTCAGGCTAAATATTGCAGAGGTTTCGGTACTCCACAAACTCCATAGCAGTAGTTGTATCAGTAACACAGAGAGCATAACTGCAGTTTAAAGAAAAGAAAATACAATTTTATTACACTAAGCTAGCTGGCCTGAAAGTGTATCTATTTTAATGGGCTATAAACCTGACCACGTTATTACATAAATCCAAAATACTGCAGAGAATATCTTAATTATTTTAATAGCAGGGCCATAAATCCAATCTTCAATAAACAGACCAGCATGGTAAAAGCTCTACTTATTTTAATTACCTTAAAGCAAATGTTAATTTTATTTTCATTTCTTAGTTTGGGGAATATATCACTAACTGAAACAGCACTGATTTCTAATTAACCAACATCAGTGATTCACCCACATTTATTGGATTATGATCAGACACCAAATGTTTATTCAGAGACCTCAGTAAACAATCATCATAATTTACCTGACCTATGGGGATTGATCTAAATAACTGCAGGAACAAATAGTGGAACTGCTATTGTTAAATTCACACTTATTTTATCTAGAGCGCAATAGAAAATGAATGCTAACACCAGTCCACATATCTTTTCCTCCAGACTGCATACAATTCACAGACTCATAGCCAAGTGCTCATAGGTTAGTCATATTAGAGTGAGCAGTTTGGTGAAGTACAGAATTGGAAAGGCTTTGATGCCATCAATACAAACAGCAGGTCTGCAAATTTGCAATTAGTTTTTATAAAGAAAATTGCTTAGAGTTGAGCAATCCACAACAAATCAAAATTAAAATCAATTAAAACCACCAAAGTATCAATTGAAAGGCATTTTAATCTATTTCCACCCAAAGTGTGATCTTTTGGTTGCTTTAGATCATTAAAGGATCAAAACCAAGAGTGTTAAATTGCTGTGGATAGTTCAATTCATGCACTTGTATTTTGAATCAAAAGTTGATGGGAAGTTTCCAAGTTTTGAAAATGTATTATACTGTTTTAAGCATAATAAAACATATCTAGAAGTGCTCAAGTGGCAAGTATTCTTTATATCATTATGTTAAATATGAGCATAATTTCCATTTTTGCAACAGGTGAATACTTTTCATGATGTGATTTAAAACACCCATGGTATGCTTAATGTAGACAGCACTCCATTCTCAGTGCTGGCATTCAAATAGGTTTGTGTGAGAGAATAGCATATTTATTACTCACAGGAATATGATCCACTATCCCAACTCCTGCAATCCATTTCAAAAATGGTCAAGAAATAAAGCATAAATACTTGCTACTACTTTGTTAAAATGTTCTACACGTCAGCATGAAGAGATAATAGAACACATCAGCACAAATTCAACTGTCCCAGGGTAGTGCAGGTGTTCGTTATGACCTATCAGAGGTAGATCAGTTTTATAAAGATTAGACGTTCAACTCTAATGCATTCTTTGCAGAACACTGACAAGCGGTTCAATGGGAATATGGATAATGAGCTCAGTCCTTCAAATCTCCAAATCCACACTTATTCCTAAAATTAACAAATCAGTCGAGACAGATCAAATGTCCCAGTTCACATGCTTGTAATTCCAGGCAGAGAGGACATTTAAAGTGTTGATTATGCTGGATAAAAATGACTGACTAGATTATGACAGATCAGAACTCACTCATCCCTAGATAACAGACCTCATACTTGTATTTAGGAGTGCAAATACAAGACAGAGCCCCATACCAAAACCATTTCTAAACATCTAAATCTTCAACCTTAGTGTTAAAGTATATCTACAGCCTTATTTGATGTTGGATAGAATAGGGAAGGGTTAAAACTCATCAGTTTGTTTACAAAATGTGTTATGTTGGGGAGATTTCCCTTTACTTCCTGTACTGTGTACTGTACATATTAGGAAGTAAGAGGAAATCTCTCCAAATGTGAAGTAAACATCTGTCTAATAATTGTCACTGCAATGGAAGCCTTCCCCTCTATTCTTGTTTCAGTGCAAACCCAAATTTGTGAATTTTTCCTGACTTAGGATAAGTAGAGAAGATTAATTTCTCCAGTGGGGATATAAGCAACAAAAATACCCTGACATATTTGATTGCACCTACTCACTATATCCCAAAGCTTTGGCTTTAGATACAGTTTAATATTAGTTCCACTTTAAGGCCTTTACAATGTAGATAAGATAAGTGTATTCACAGATGTTGGAGAGAAGTTCCTAAACTGTACATGCATTCATTTGTATTCAAGTTACCTGCAGATTTGTTATACTTCCTAGGTAACTCTTTATACATTCAAACTGTACAATCTTCTGTGACACATAAGACATCTATTAACTGTATTCTGAGCCAAATAAGGCCATTTACAATTTTAACAGTGTTAATCAATACAGCAGCTGAAAAATAAAGATGATGGAGTTTAAAACTACATAAAGGGATGGATGGAGCTCAAATTGAAATAAAAAACCAAATGCAGATAACTTAGTATCCTAAATCATATCTAAACCCAAAAGGAAAAATACTTTACAATGCAATAAAGGGATGGATGGAGCTCAAATTTAAACCAAAAATACTTTACAATGCAATAAAGGGATGGATGGAGCTCAAATTTAAACCAAAAATACTTTACAATGCAATAAAGGGATGGATGGAGCTCAAATTTAAAGAAAAATACTTTACAATGCAATAAAGGGATGGATGGAGCTCAAATTTAAACCAAAAATACTTTACAATGCAATAAAGGGATGGATGGAGCTCAAATTTAAAGCAAAAAACAAATGCAGATAACTTAGTATCCCAAATCATATCTAAACCCAAAAGGAAAAATACTTTACAATGCAGCTTACCAGTCTGTTGATGTGGTTGCTGCATTCGTTTTTCTAGTTTGTTTTTTTGTTCTTTTTTTTGTGTTTAACCTGATAATCCTATGAAGAACACACTACCTGTCCTCACATCGTTGTCAACTTGGGCTGGTCTCTTAATTTGTTCTACAAACACATATACCTGTCTTTATCTCCATTACGTTGGGACAGGCATAGTTTTCAGAAACATGCTTAGAAGGAAGAAAAATTTAGTTATGATTTCCGATGAGGACACTGCATTTCTGGCAAGATCAACAGGTATTTTTGTATACTTGCTGAAAATGTCCTTAGCCTGAAAAAAAGAAAACGAATGCAGCCACTTATAATTTCCAATATAGAACATTTTTTGTTCTACGGTTTGGTCATACTTTAATGTTCTACTTTAATTTCTCCTTATGAAAGAAACTGTGCTCAAGCTGAATACTACATGCAACATGCATGAAATGCATACTACAAAACTGTATATCCTTGTGTGTTGCAGACTTCCTGGCTCCTGCTCATTTTAGCAATACTGGACAGGAGACAGAGAGAACAAGACACAGTAAGACAGGAAGGATTCAACCATTCCCTTTGCTGAGCAACGCATCATGATGACCTTTCTGAAGTATAAAGATGGTCATTAGAGAGGCAGGTGATGTACATAAAACAGCGGTAATTGAAGAAATCACTGGTACGATCAAACAGCTAAAATTTTATGGTTTGTAAATCAATCTGTTAGAATAATGAGCCAGATCTTGATATGTGAATCTGTCGTGTAGATCAATCAGTAGCAGGCATGCAGGTGGAAAATTTATCATAACAGATGAAGGAACACTTTTTTTAAATAATTGCATTGTCATGATATTTTAAATATTTAGCAACCCACATTACTTTGATCGATTTTTCTGCAAAGCTTTTCATTTATTTTTCAAAGATGCTGCTCAGTCTTGAAATCATATTCAGCCCCACACAAACATCATTTACCTGCTAGGAGATAAGAAAATAGGTGACCTTCTGATACGACTTTTGGCTTTGCAGAAATGCACATTGGATTGAGTGGTATTAAATACAAGATGAAGAACAAAGGCCATTTGTACTCAGCTGTGTAATTGGTGTCCCTTTACCGGCTTCATATAAGTATAATCACAATACTTAACGGGGTCTCTGATGTAAGCATCTGTGGCCCCTAATGTAACCCATCTAGTGTTCCCTGATCTATAATTACAATTGATATTACAGAACTATTAATGTTCTTCCATTAGTAGAGAAAATGTTCCTTGTTGTATGGAAAGTAAAGCATATAATTTTCCAGGAAACTGTACAAGTGATTTCCAAGCTATCAATTATGAAACCACATTAAAGGACCATATACTTTACTGGCAATTCTTATGCTAGAGATTATAACTGTAGCATGCTAGTTAAAATTAATTTCAAAAGAATAGCTAGTAATAGAACAATTGTCCATCCCTGAATTTGTTCTTTGCTAACCCAGAAATAACGAAAAAAATATTAGGTTTATATGGGGTATGAAGGTCACAGGAGGAAGCAGTACACCTTCATTCCAATAGAACAAAGTAAAGCAGTCATAATATTATGCAACCAATAAATTGTAAACAAAATGGTTTACCTTTGTTTTAGATGCTTTGTAAAATACCCTTTCCCTTACATTGGATTCCATTTCAGAAGAAAGTAAGCCACATGTATAACTGCACATAATAGGATATCTTTATCCTTCATGCTACAATCTAGGTTTGATGTCTTCACTCATTATGGGCACCGGGGATTAGAAAATACCCACCAGAATAAACAAGATGTTGATGATGCAATCAGGTGGCCCTCCAACCCTAATATCTCCTATTATACTAGGAACTACACCTTTTTTAAACACTGAGCAATGAGATATGAGTATCCAGAATCACCCAGTGAATTCTGCATCTCTACATGCTCTCTCAATATTGCATACAGAACAAAAAGTAGAATTCTCTATACTCATCTTTACAGTCCGAACTTAATACTGCATCTTATTCAAGTAATGGTTGTCTTGACTAGATATTGGAGTTGATTTACTAAAACTGGAGAGCACAAAATCTATCAGCTTCCAGGTTTTTTAGTCAAAGTGTTATTGTACAAGCTGACGTTAGAAGCTAGTTGACTACCATGCACAGCTGCACCAGATTTTGCGATCTTTTAGTAAATCAAACCCATTGAGTAAACCTTTCTATAGTCTTACAGCTGTTTAGATTCCATGCAGATGTAAT